AAACTCCACGTTCAGCAGGCAAATCAGCACGCCTAGGAATCACAGCCCTCACATCAGGATGCCCTTGATTCTTATAAATCACGAAATTCTCCGCACAAACTAAAATCCCACTTGGCCCATCACCACCTCCAGGTACTGTAACAAGCATATTAGCGCCATTATCAACCTGCTCAGACCATTTCCTAGACACATGATTAAGCCCCAGATCAAGCTCATAAAATGTCAAATTCTTCTGCGCTTCACTAGCAGCTTGCCCTGTCGAGTCCTGATCAGCTTCCGAATAATCCAACTCAATCGCAGCAAAAATCGGATTATCAAACCCACAATCAACACCACATACTGAGTAACATATAGTATGCGACTTATGTGCCTCTAAAGGCGAAGAAATGGTTAACCTAGCAACAGTATCTCTATTCAAAACATAAACTAGCTTCTGTTTCTCACAGGCACCAATCATAACAGCCCTTCCTTTCGGATCCACAGCCAAATACTGACCCGGAACAATACGGCGACAACCAGATTTTCCAAAAGTTTCTTGATGAATTTTGTCAAAGACATTTCTCTCCTTGTTATATTCTAAAATTACAATCCTGCCCGAATCGGAACCAACAACAATATAATCTTTTTGAGCTCCAGTTAGTCTAAACTGAGCTAATGAGCGAATAGCACCGAATATTTCAACAGAGAGAACTGTTTGTAGCTTACCGTTCTCGTCAGGTCGGAGGAGATCGAGAACTTTGCCGCGAGCAACAACGATTTCTTGTGCTTTGCCGCCGGAGAAGTTGCCGTTTATGGCGGAAACGATTCCGGTAGCTCGTTGGAGAGTGAGGCTGTAGAGGTACATGGTAATGTTGGGTTTTGTAGTGGGAGTGAAATGGTGGGGATCGGGGTTTTAGGGTTTTAAATAAGAGAGCTAGTTAGAGAGACTGGATTTCTGCGACAAAAATCACTTGTCGTCTGACTATTGACTTGGCACATGAGAATGAGAACCGTTGGCAATGGACTTCAAGACTCGGGCCATCAATCTTCACAAGGACAGCCCCAGTAAAACGGGCTTGGAGTTTAGACCCTAAACCCGGATAGCTTATTTTTGTCCGTAAAATATTGTTTAATAAATAAACTTAATTTACAGAATAGTAGTAAAGTATTTGATATTAATTATTTTTTAAAAATATATTTCAGATAAAATAAATACAGAAAAAAATCACAAATAAATTTTATTATAATATATTTTATGCAAAACAAATATATTCATAAAAAGTGTGCTGAAATTTTATTTTTATAAAAAATCAACTATCATTATATAAAAAATTTAAAACTAATTTGATAGGTTTTGAAAACTTTAACAATCGAGTGTTGGTTTTTATGTTTTTGAAAATTTAAAAAAAAGAGCAAAAAAAGATTTTAATTCTTAAAAGTAAAACAAAATGAGTTTTGGAAATATAAGAGTCAACTTAAAAGCTAGACTTATAAATGTGGCAAACTTTATTTATGTATTGATATTATATCGATAAATGAACAATTTTCTAGTGTTATGAAAAAAAATGGCCTTTTTTTTAATTAATATCATTGTTTTTATTAACTTAAACATATTTTGATTAATTTTATAAATTTTAAAATTTTTAATTATTTAAATTTTTAATAGTTCTGAGATTTGTAAAATTCAAATTAATTATTTATAAAAAGTAAATGTAAAATTTGACAAGTTGAAATTATTTATTTAGTCTGCCATCACGGTTGTGGATTTCTTGATAAATATTAATAACTTTGATTAATTTTAATTTTAAGTTGTTTCCTATAATAGTTTGTTTGAAAAAAAATAAAAAAGTGAATGCAGAGAAAAGAAGGGAGGGATGCATTTTTGAAGGATTCTCTTAACGGAATTGAAAAATCTTCAGGACGAGAGTGCTAATTATAATCGTTCTTCAAATAGAAAATAATAATATTTTTTTTTTGTTTGTTTTTGTATTATAAAAATATTTAAAAATAAATAAATTTTTTTATTTGTTTTAAAATTAATATTTTTTTTATTTTCATATATTTTAATATTTTATTATTAAAAATATTTTTTTAAAAAAATATATAATATATTTTTAAATAAAAAATACTTGAAAAAACAACTACAACATATTAAACACTATAAACAACAAGCCTAACCCACCTCTTATACATAAAAATATATGTTGAATAACAATGCTACTTCTCCCTTTCTCTTCTAGCTTTACAAGTGATCAAGGTTGGTCACCATTATCTAAATTTTACCACAAATTCACAACATGAAAGAGGCAAGCTCTCTATTCCATGCTGAGTTTGGTTTGCTTGCTTTCTCCTTTGCGTGAATTTTATCAATCAGTCATCCTTCGCTCGAACCCTTGGCAGTTCAAGTACAGGCCAACACCACCACAAACATCACAAGAAAATAACATTCTTCATGCAAATGTGCTGAGTGTGACACAAATACTTGAAGTTTCCAACATTGGCGTATCATTTCCGGCTAGAGCTTCCTTGCAAGAGTTAGAATTCGGAAGTGTTCCAGAAAAAAATGTTATGGAGACAGAAGGATTTTTTGTTGCTAGACCAATGGAAAGATGGAAATTGCAGTGTTAATGGTGAAGTTATAACTCATAGTGATTTGTATCAGCTGCAGTGCTTTACCGGTTGTTTTCATGTAATGGGCTGTGGACCTGAACACCAGTTTATAGAGTTTATCAGCTTTTCAAGAATGACTTGCAGGCTGGCAAGACAAACATCCAATGGATAATTTTTAGGTTAAATGATCAAACTCCATATTCAATAAGACTGGTTCAATTCATCACATCATTATCATAACAAGCTAGGTCTAGAAATGGAGAATGTTACTCCTGTCTCAGCTTTACCTGTTTGCTCTTGAATCTTTCAGTAAGTTCCTAATCTTCAGAAAGCAAAATACATCCCCGAAGCTGCTTCTAAGGACTCCTTTTGAGAAGGTCATCAACTGTGCACGTCTGATTTTACAATTTCTGAGAACCTTCTTGAATCTGAAATTTCACAGGTATACATCACGATCTTACTGTTTGCTGGACGTTATCTTTATTGCCCTCTTTACCAACGCCAGATAACCAAGTATTATCCAAAATCTCAATGACTGCATGTAGATAGTAGGGTGTAAGGAACATGCAGGAAACTCATTAATTGTCAACTTATGGACTGAAAAATATAGCAATGACTATATCATGTTATTTTCAAACTTGAATCCCTAGTTAGCCAAACCTTAATGCAGTTAATTTCTGATCCTTGCTTGGCCTCGGATTGTGAATAGCATATGCACCAAACCATCAACTGAAAACAAATAGCATGTAATTATGCCAGAGAGAGAAGACATTATTTAAACCTAATCATCCTGCATTGTAGAGACCTGCTCTCTAATATCACAACTTCCCTTTGTGATCTGCTACAAAAAAGAAAAAATGTAATTAGCATCTGGACAAGCAAAGAAAAAAGGTGTCTATCAAATTCAGGGTGTCCATATTTCAACTAGTAGTCAAATGCAGCAAATCATGCACTCATATCACGTAGAAATTCGGCATCACAACCAGAACACGCAACAAAAGAGAAGGTGTGCACCAACTCCACCATATCTGCTCCACTCTCATTAGAGTCTCCTCTTAACTATATATAACCACAATAGACTCCTGCTCCTGCATCACAAATCATTCCTCACATCTTACATATACCCTTAAACAACAGTTAGCTCTTTTAGAGAATCAAAACTCAAAATGGCTAAACCTCTCTTTGTTACCACTAAAGCACTCAAGGCCATTGTCTATCTTTTCCTGATAGCCATGACTCTCTCCTATGCCAACTCAGCAAGAATCCTCGATGAGTTGGAACCCGAAAATCCAGCTGTTGTTAGCCCTCCTGCAACAACAGTCCCAGCTCCCACGACTACATTGCCGAGTGGCCAAGTCCAAGCGACCACTCCCACCACCGTTGAAGATGATCAAGCAGAACCTCCTCTTCCTTATGAAACTGAAGCCCCTGTCACAGCGGCAGCACCAGTTGCTCCTCCAGTCACAGTGGCAGCACCAGTTGATGATGCAGCACCAGTTGCTCCTCTAGTCACAGATGCAGCACCAGTTGCTCCTCCAGTCACAGTGGCAGCACCACTACCTGTAGGCAAGGGTGGAGGCATGCTAACGGTGTAATTCTCAATTGAGTTATCAAAAAACTCGGCAAATTTAAGTGAATCTTTATAATATAATTTAAGGGTGGAGGCATGCTAACGGTGTAATTATCAATTGAGTTATCAAAAAACTCAGCAAATTTAAGTGAATCCTTATAATATAATACTTTAATTTGGATTAAAATTTCAAAATCTATGCAGAAATTTAAAAATTTAATGAAAAATTATAATTTAACTAGTTTTATATTATTAAATATAATTTTTAATCTGATTATTAAATTTAACTGAAATTTTACAAGAAAATTAAATATAATTTTTAATCTGATTATTAGATTTAGCTGAAATTTTATAAAAAATCTTAAAATATATTAAATAAAATCTAATTAAAATTTTATGATGAACAGAGTTTGGTAGTGTTAATAAAAAAACTGATAAATATTAAAATAATATGATTATTTACCTATTAAATAAAATCTAATTAAAATTTTATCATCAGAGTTTAGTAATGTTAATAAAAAAACTGATAAATAAAAGCAAAACAACTCATTAAAATAATATGATTATTTATCTTTAAAAAATAAAACAAATCAATTTTTCCTTCCTTTTATATATTGTGGAATAGTCATAAGCAAAATAAGAAAAGAAAGAAAAGAAAAGGCAAGAAAAAATAAAAAAAATAAGAGAAAAACATAAAAAAATCTATATATATAAAAAGAATTAAGTGAAGGAAGGAGAAAATGAGAGAAAAAATTTTAATTACTTTGTGTTTTAGTTAATATGAAATTATTATTTTATCTCGATTGAGAAATTGTTACAATATCAATTTAGATTTGATTATAAATAAATTATATTTTATAAAATATCGAAAGATGTAACTTTAATAGTAAATTTATTTTTACATTTCATTTTAATTTTATGTATATTTTAATTTATTTTTTAATATTTTAGACAATATATTTGAATTAAAACTTTAATATTAATTTCAAAAATTTACATACATGAATTAAAAATTAATTTTAAAACATTTATATATTTATTTAATATTCTAAAAAATTCTCGTCTCCGCCTTTGCCTATAGGTCCCATCAACACGGCCAGCAGGCCACCAAATGGGCCCGCCCCTGTAGTGGCCACGAGTGACACCGAAGCAAAACCTGCTGCCCCGCAAACCACCACCACAACTTCTCCTCCGTTGTCCTTCTCCATGCATGACATCCTAGGAGGATCCCACGCATCAAATAGGACCGTCACCGAGATCATCGCCCGACATCTGTGGCATTCCTTTCTCCCAGCCAAGCAATAACATTTTCCCACTCCAAGGTGGGACCCCACTAGTCAACATTAACAACCTCATAAATCCAAACACTGCTCCGCTCCTTACAGGCCTAACTGGTGCCCAAACCAACACTCTACTTCAAAACACAGGCAGCAACAACAACGCTGTCAATAGCAACAACCAGCCTCTTGTCACCGCTGGCAATCTCTCAGCCGGGTCCGCATGACAAAAGCTCATGTTTGCCTCGATCACAGTCGTCGATGATGAATTAACAGAAGGACATGAGTTGGGGTCCGCTGTGATTGGGAAGGCTCAGGGATTTTACTTGGCTAGTTCGTTGGACGGTACTAGCCATACAATGGCATCTTCAGTGTTATTACATGGAGGAGAAAATCATGGTGAGATTGAAGATACTATTAGTTTCTTGGGGGTACATAGGACTGCAACACCTGATTCACAGATCGCGGTAATCGGTGGCACTGGAAAGTATGAGAATGCGAAAGGGTATGCTTCTGTTGAGACTCTTCCACAGGTGGATCAGC